AGAAGCGACAGAAGTAGGGGATTGTGAAAAATCAAAACTATTTTCGAGGAAGAGGAACGAGAAGTATCCACCGAAGAAAATCATTCTTCTTCCCCTTTTTGAAGGAAAGGGTGGATCCTAGCAAAATGAATAAAACAGAAAAACTACGGGTGATTGAAAAGAAAAAATAAAAATAAAGAAAGGCGGACTTCACTTTCCCTTTAAAGAGACATACTATAAAAATAGACTAGTTTATGAAACTTCTTATTTGGATGAGAATAGATACAGTTTGAAGTTCGAAATATTTTTAAAAAATAAGATAAATATTTATTATGATTTGAAAAATCCCTTCTGACACTTTTTTTTATTCTAAACGATGGAATCTACCTTTGCGATATATATAAATGACTGGTTTGAAAATGTTATAAAAAATAAAATGGCACAATATATTTTTTTACACATGTCAAAGTGATGGAAAAGAAAAAATATATATTTTACGCTTCCACCCAGTTTAGCAACTTTTGGAGAAATGATACAAAAATAATAATTTCTCACACCAGAAAAGGGGTTTTTTGATGAATTGCATACTGATTGGAGTTTTATCAATAAACTAAAAAGAATAAATTTAGGTAAGGAGTTTATAAAAAGAGTTGAAGCTTTAGATAAAGAATCTTTTGATCTGGGTATACTTGAAAACAAGACTTGATTCTCTAATAATGAAACTAAAAGAGAATACTTTCCTAAAATGTATGATCCTTTCTAGCATGGACCTTACTGCGGAAGAATCAAAAAATGGGTTTCACCTTTAAGCATAAATGAAACTTCTAAAAAAAATACATATTTGTTTTGGATAAATATGATTCAAGATATACTTCTTACTATTGATTATCACTAATTTGAACATACACTAGATACACTTAATCAGTGGCGAAGCCAGAAAAAATTTATAGACTAAGTCAATGTAAACATAATAATTTTTTTATCTAACATAATTCGTACTTTTTTTATTTAGGGTAAACTAACTATTTGGTCACCAGTCTATTACTTAATAAATTTTTTTAGCCACTCAATTATTATTTTTTCAAAATCATAGCTAACCTTACATTTTGGTTCTGTTTTGGTCTCTCACCATTAAAAAAATTTAATGATGTTAACATGACATTTTTTTAATTATTTTTCAATCATGATATGTCATTATCTTATGATGATACATCGATATCACTGCTAAAATTTTAAAGATGAGTAACCAAAATAAAACGAAAACGTAAACTAAGTGTGATTTATAATAAATAATAATTATATGACCAAAATAAAAAGTAAAAAAATTATGAGTGTCTCAATAAATAATTTTCCCTATTTTTAGCATGGGAGGCCATGGTCTAGGCTTGGATCCGCCCCTGCACTTAATATAAAATCATTATCAATAGAAAAAGAACTCTCCTTATTGATATTGACAGAAGATGAATATGAAAATATCGATTTCAAGGAACGAGTCAAAATTTTGAAATTTTTATTCAATATAGTTATAACTAATCGCAACAATCAAACAATTAGAAAAAAAATCTATTGGAATAAAAAATAAGTACAAAATTTCCTCGATAATCATGCAAATTATTCGACAATTTAAAACAACATGAGGGAGAAAACAAGAAAAATATAGCAAGTGAGCATGAAATTCGTTCAAGAAAATCTAAGGTTGTAGTGATTTTTTACTAATAACCAGGAAAACGACAATAATTATACTAATGCCAATGATTCTAATGATCCTGTTAAAAATGACGAAGTGACTTTGATACGCTATTCGCAACAATCAAATTTTCGCCACAACTTAATAAAGGTTTCATGCGTGCCCAAAGGCGCAAAACAATTACTTGGGGAGTGTTTCAAGAAAATGTGCATTCTTTACTTTTTTTTTGACATAGTAGACAAGCCCATCTTTTTTATTTTGATATTTATGGGCTGCCGAAATTAATATCTCGAAATAAAATATGTAAAAAATTAACAAATTTCTTATTATACAAAAAAAATCTAGAAAAAAGACCAAGTTAAAAGAAAAAATTACAAAAAGATGAGAAAATACATAATGAAATAGCAGAAACTTATGACAATATTATGCTCAAATAATAAAGAGCTCCACGTTAATTACCCAATCAATTCTTAGAAAATATATTATATTACCTTCATTGATAATAGCTAAAAACAATTTGATTTTTGTTTTTTTTCATATGAAATTCGTTTGTATCGAATTGAATCGAATTGAAAAAAAAGAAAAATAATAAAATCAAATTCTTTTAATTTTTTTGAACGATAAACTTAAATAATTAACATCTTAAAATTAATAATATTATTTTTATGAATTTAAATTTTTGTTTAGGGGTGCTTAATGAGTTGAGCAACTGGTCAGCTACTCGACTCGTTGAAAACTCGATAAATGCTCACCTAGGATTGATTCGAATCAAATTCGAGCTCGATTAAAGTCCTTAACAAGTTGAGTCGAGCAAAGTCCAACTTGACTTGATAAGTTCGCGAGAAGCTCATTAATTTTTATATAATTTTTTAGTAGTTTGGTGATTGCAAGAAAAAATGAATGGAGTGGATATATGTTGTTTTTCTTATTTTTAGGATTGATTATGTATCGTTGAAATTCTTTTTTTTTTCAAGAATGTCTTTAGTATGTTAGTTTGACATATTTGTGGTTTATTACTTTAGTTTTAATATGTTAGTTATGTGGATTTGTGGATTGTTATCTTGAAGTTTTGACTTTAAAATAGCTTCATACATTCTTTTGATATTTTTTTGTTAATTTTGTTAATTTAATTACTTGTGTTCACACTTTATTTAAGCTTACAGGTTCATTTCTTAGATGTTGAGTTTGAAAATTGATAAACAATTAAAAATCGTTAAATTGAATTAAACTTAACTGAACTAAAATATCCAATTCTAATGTCATACGATTTCAATTTAATTTTAAAAAGTTACACAATATGATTCGATTCATATTTTATTGAAACAAATAAACACGAGCATATCATCTATTACTTAATGTCATTGATTAAGTTTGTATAATATGAATGCACTTAGAAAACTTTGCATAACTTCAATAAAAGACTTGAAATTAAGCCATGTCTCCCGAAGCAGTCGGTGAGAGACGAATAGGCCATGTAACAACAAAAACAGTAGCAACTAATGAAGAAACAACAAAAGAGAGACAATAGTTGAAACTTTTCTTGTCATGACTTTGAAGATTTTAACATGATTGTCATCCCAAGAATAATAATTATTTCAAGCGCTAGTAACAAAACCTTTTCTTTCATAGTAGCAGTCGTTTTCGAAAAAGAAAGAGGGCACGCAGTGTTTAAGGATTTATTTGATATTATTTTCTCTACACTCTAAGGGTGCCATTGTATTGCATTTCGCTCGTGTAAAAGACACGACAATTGATGCAACAAACAACATTCCTCCGCAATTTTTTGAGCTCATGTAAAGGACAAGACTGCTGGTGCAACAGACGGCATTTCTCTATAGTTTTTGTAGTTTATTATTAAGATTTTATCTGACATCTTAAAGTTTTAAATATGTCTTGATACATGAGGAGTTTACTTATTTTTTTTAATAATCATGTCATGATATTACGATTTTCATATACATGCATGAGTTATTAAATTGTACAATGAATGTAACGCACACATGAACCTTACAAATATATAACTATAGGTTATAGTTACAGCATTGAGAAACGAAATCGAAAATTTAAAAAATCGATGTAAATTAAATTAATAAAATTAACAAAAAAAAATATCAAAAGAATGTATGAAGCTATTTTAAAGTCAAAACTTCAAGATAACAATTTACAAATACACAGAACTAACATATTAAAACTAAAGTAATAAACCAAAAATATGTCAAACTAACATACTAAAGACATTCTTGAAAAAAAGAATTTCAACGATACATAATCAATCCTAAAAATAAGAAAAACAACATATATCCACTCCATTCATTTTTTCTTGCAATCACCAAACTACTAAAAAATTATATAAAAATTAATGAACTTCTCACGAACTTCTCACGAACTTATCAAGTCAAGTTGGACTTTGCTCGACTCAACTTGTTAAGGATTTTAATCGAGCTCGAATTTGATTCGAATTAATCCTAGTTGAGCATTTATCGAGTTTTCAACGAGTCGAGTTCGAGTAGCTGACCAGTTGCTCAACTCATTAAGCACCCCTAAATAAAAAATTTAAATTCATAAAAATAATATTATTAATTTTAAGATGTTAATTATTTAAGTTTATCTTTCAAAAAAATTAAAAGAATTTGATTTTGATCATTATTTTTTTTAATTCGATTCAATTTGATACAAACGAATTTCATATGAAAAAAAAACAAAATCAAATTGTCAAGCAAGATATCCAAACTAAACCTAAATCAAACTGTAAAATTAAAATAAAAAAATTAGGCTTGGGTGAATGCAATGTACTGTTTGTTTAAAGATCTTCAATCATTTGATAATGAACGTTCATACACCTTCCATATACGTGATATTCGAATTGAGATAATAAGAGATACAATAATTTCATATGAAAAAAAAATTGAATTGTCAAGCAAGATATCCAAACTAAACCTAAATCAAGCTATATAATTAAAATAAAAAATTAGGCTTGGGTGAATGCAATGTACTGTTTGTTTAAAGATCTTCAATCATTTGATAATGAACGTTCATACACTTTTCATATACGTGATATTCGAATTGAGATATTAAGAGATACAATAATTTCATAATTACTAAAACGATTTGATTGTACTAAAACCCAATAAAACTGTATAATTTAATTTGAATCGATTTTTTTAATTTTTTTATTTTGTTACTCATCATTATAACCCATGGTTATATATATATTTATAAGGTTCATGTATGTGTTAAATTCTTTGTCTAATTTAGGTTTCTATAAGTTAAATTACGTGGGAAACTGTTGCACATTGTCTACGTTTCCTAAGTTGAAGGACGGCATCCAAATTCAATTTCAAGACTGTTCAAACCTTACTTCTCTTCCCTGCTTTGATTTTCACTTTTTTTCCCCCACAACTAAACAATCCCTTCCCTTTCCCATGACGGTTCTTAGCCGTTGCTCCACGGCTGCCGCGAATCCGACCGTTGCCGCAACATTCTCTTACTTGATTCGAGCTCTCTCTTCTTCTTCGAAGTTTGATTCCGAAACCGACCTCAACCGTAATAAACCGGCCACTTTGGCGACTCTGAACAGAGAGCCCGAGGGTAGAAATGTCCAGTGGGTATTTTTAGGTTGTCCCGGCGTCGGCAAAGGAACGTATGCCTCTCGGTTGTCGAATCTTCTCGTTGTTCCTCACATCTCCACCGGTGATCTCGTCCGTGATGAGCTCGCTTCCTCCGGTCCCCTTTCCTCTCAGGTCCAATCTTTTCTTTTAGGGTTCCGTCTTTCAATTTTTCTATAGAAGGTTGAAATTTAAACCTCTAGACGGTTTTCAGCTGAAAAACCGTTGTTTTTACTGAATGCATGTTGAAAAGGGGGATATTTCACCGATTAGTTTTAAATAGTTTGATCCACTGCTGTGTAGAGAATTCAAGGTTCAGTTTTCTTTCGAATGATTCAAGTTAAAAGTTTTGATTTGTAAATTTCTTATTTGGAACACTATATTCAAATCCATCTTACATTTTAACTTGATTAGGTGCTTTTGAGAAACGATTTCTTTCTTTTGTTTTAATACATGTGAGTTTCCCTTTTTTTAGCTTGAAGTACAGAGGTTGTGCCTTTAGCATTAAGTAATCTTGTCCTCTATGGAGTTTGATCGCTGCAAACAGAAAACAAGTAACATCGATGTCAATCTAGATGCTGACGTGGACTCCCGAAATCTGACGATACACGTGTTTTGTTGATTTCTGAAGTTCAAGCCAGCATCTTTGATGGTTTTTCAGCTACTTTGTTGTCAATTTTGTTGCACCTTTAGAATTAAGTAATTTAGTCCGTGGACTTTGATAGTTGCAAACAAGAACAAGTAAATTGATAACAATACAAATTTATAAATAGAACTAACTATTAATTATATTTGTTTTGTCATATTCTTGGAGTACAGTTCACCATTTTAGACGGGGTTTTGTTAAAATTGTTATGAATTATAGTTGTCTGCACCAATATCAAATATACAAGAATTAAATTCCTCTTAGTCCTATGATACACTGACCAAGTTGCATTTTTTTACTGTAGTACAAAGAATATATAAATATTTAACTATTATTTTTGTTATCAACCTTGAAAAAAGCAAGTAGAAAAAGCAATAAGCAAATTGATCCTTAATAAATTCATAAAGGACGAGTTAGTGAATGTTATTAGTTGGATATATTTGTGTTTTAAACTTTAACTGGTTTTTGCTCTTGTTGCAATTTTAACATCATGATATTTTTGTGGTTTGAGGAAAGAAATTGGAGTTGAAAAATGATCTCTCTTTTTTTCAACTCAAGTTTACTTTTTTTTTTACTATTATACACTTGGCAGCTAAAGGAGATTGTTAACCAAGGCAAATTAGTTTCAGATGAAATTATAATAGATTTACTTTCCAAACGTCTTGAAATGGGAGAAGCCAAGGGTGAAACGGGGTTCATTCTTGATGGTTTTCCTCGGACAGTAAGACAAGCGGTGAGCCCTTCATTTGATAGTTTTCTGTAATATTTTTCTTCCAGCTAAACTGCTAAAGGTTAATTTGACTTTACTACAGGGAAATAAGAATGTTAGTCATGGCATGGTAAAAGAAATGGTAGGAAAAATACATGCATTTGGTACTGTATTGATCCTTTTACATAGCTATTGCTGAAGCTTTTGCTAAAAAGCATGTGAAAAATCCAGTCATTATTTTTGGTTCTAAAAGCATTTGATAGCTTCCTGGTAATCTACTCATGTAAGAGCTGGCAATTTGTGTATCCATGTTTATCCTTGCATGTTCTTAAGGGCTTTTTTGACAGGCTTTATATAAATTTTGTTATATATTTTTGTTATATAGATTTTGACATTTTGGTGTGTTTGTGTCAGGCTTGTGTTTGTTGTATCGTGTTTTAGTTATTCTTGTCATATTGTATAATGTATTACATCCAGTATTGCAAAGTTACAGCCATGCAACTAGATTTCAATTTCTACCAATGTTCTCAATGATGAATATATTTGCCACAGATGACCTATGGTAAGTTGGATGGTGCATGTTGTTCTTTGTTCTTTGCTATGCATTCCATAGCATTTTATCACAATACAACTAAAGGAAAATATGCCGACTTCATATGGTGAAAGTTGCAATATCATTGGTAGCTTTTGTTTCATCAAATTGAAAGCTTACCCCACCCACACCACCACCAAAAAAAAAAGCTGAATATATTGTCAGGAAGCATAATGGTTGCACTGTTGAATATATTTATCATGTTAAATATTTCCATTTCATTTTTGTGCCACTTACTAGTAAATCCCTAACCATGTAATCTACAATTTTATCATGTTTATTTCCTAGGAGATATTAGAGGGCGTGACAGACATCGACTTAGTGATTAACCTGAAGCTTCGGGAAGAAGCATTGCTTGCAAAATGTCTTGGTAGAAGGATTTGTAGTGAGTGTGGAGGAAACTATAATGTGGCTTCTATTGATATCAAGGCTGAGAACGGGAGGCCCAGGATGTACATGGCTCCACTTCCTCCTCCTCCTCAATGTGCATCCAAGCTTATCACTCGACCTGATGATACTGAAGAAGTTGTTAAGCAACGTCTTCGCATATACCAGGCAATGGTATTTCTCCGTTTCTGTATTTTTCTAAATTGCATTCTTGAGAATTTAGTTTACTATTTATTGGAGTTTTTGGGTATAATCTGTACGTTTTGAAATTACTATATGACTATGTAATCTTATCTTCCTATTTTGGTTTGATGCACCTGCCTTTTGGTTCAAAACCCTATGATCATGGAGTTGTAGTTACAGGGGGAAAAATTGCCTGATGCATTACAAATTTTATTTTCTTACAGACTCGACCTGTAGAGGATTTCTACCTCATTCGTGGGAAGTTGTTAGAATTTGATCTTCCAGGAGGAATTCCGGAGTCATGGCCAAAGCTGCTCCGTGCTTTGAATCTTGAAGATCACGATGACAAACAATCTGCAGCTGCATGATGTCTTATATCATTGTATCATTCGAAGTATTTGCAGGTAAAGTTGGTCATTCTTTGCATGCACAGCACGTGCATGCATATTTATTTCATAAAAAAACCTGAAAAGGAATAGAAAAATGGATATGCGATAAAGCTAGACGGCTATAAAGTCCTAAACTACAAAATGAGGTATTGTTGTACTTGTGAAGTGGGGAAAGTTATTGCTTGGGGATGGGAGGCATTGTGTTCTTTAAGCCGACCATAATGAGTTGCTTTAAAACAAATACATGTATGTCTGCTTAACGCCGATGCCATTGTCGTTTTGCTGTATATTTTTCTTATGTTCAGCTTATTGAATGGTAGTGGGTTGAATTATAAAACTGCCTTAATAAAGCTGCGTTTGGAAACACACACATATCTATGCATGTGCATATGCTCGAGTGTGTGTATATATTTAGAGAGAGATTCATCTGCAACGGAAGTCCATATTTTTAGAATGCGGATAGACACTTCAAGATGCTTCATCTACGGAGTGATTTTCCACTCGTTTTTAAGGAAGAGGAAGTAAGGTATTGTATAGAACAATGCATGCTTGTAAGAGTCTAGATTGCAGTTGGTGTCAGCAGTGTTATTCAGATTTCGGGATGTGTCGATAGGGTGTGTGATATACTGATCTCAGAGGAAATAAAGAGTCAGAGGAAATAAAGAGTCTGAGCAACATACTATTGTAGAACCGTAAAGTTCTCGAGTTTAACATCAGCTATGTGTCGATAGGGTGCGGGAGACAAATAATGTGTTTATAAAACTTTTACCTAGGAGTCTCTTTCATTGTTTTCTTAGGTGAAAATGTTAGTGATCAAATTGAATGTTTTTGTAGTTTGGTTACACAAATAGAAACATGCAGTCTCTTCGGCTTGTTGAGTCGACCCAAAGTCTCAAGTTAACGGTAACTGGTAGATTTAGGATGAGTTTGGTATTGTTTCCAAAAAAAATTATAATTAAAAAAATACTGCTTTTAAGAATTATTTTTGTGAAATATTTACTAAATTATTTGATTTGAAATTTAAGTGTTTGAAGTTGTTTTCAAAATGTGCTTTTAAATAGATAAAAATATTTTTTTTGCGTATCATTTTTTAAAATATAAAAAAATTGATAACATATTATCTTTGTTGGAAAAATTTCTTTTAAGAAAGGATAAAATTTAGGGTAAAATACATAAATGGTCACTAATATTTGATTAATTGTGCGTTGTACCTATTGAAGATAAATTGGTCGTTAACGTTATCGATTTATAATAAAACGGTCATTCGACGTTAACATACGTTAAAGTGGGTGACAGTTCACAGAATACTTACATTGCCTGTTAAGTGCTTACCTATCGATCTTTTTGTCTGTTTTCTTCATCACACTCTCTTTCCTCAAGCTCATGTTTTATTTTTATTTTTGTTATAAAATTCTTTATAAAATCAATCTCCTTTTGCCGATCAAACCCTCTATTGTAAAAATAGTTTTGATTATTTAAAGTCATCGGAAACACATATCCCAAGACTTGTGATCAAAAGAATTTCCTACGCTTAACATCATTGCAAACAAGTTGAACAAGAGTTGTTTTACCTATGCCCCATGTCAGTGATGGAAGTACACAACTCCATTAGAGTTACTAATTTTGAGCAAATAAATTATTTCTCGCTTCTCGTTGTCTCTACCAACATACTTCACAGCTCCATCCACCATAGAAGTAATGGAAGGCGATAGTAAAAATCAAGGTCACCCTCTTGATGATTAAAGTCAAACAAGTCAAAAATAATTGGATTAGAAACCAGATGAGTTCCTTGATGATTTAGAAACAACAAAAATTAATTCGAAAAGAAAATTGAAATTCATGATTGGTGCAGCCAGGACTAAGTGCAAATATTATTGAAAATGAACCTCCTATTATCTCATCCCAAACAATAAAATGTCTGCTCTATTGGTTAAACTTAAAGTCAAACAAAAAGAAAGTTATAGGTACAATTAACCAGTAGGGGAACAATACTATTCAAAAAAATGAGGGGTTTAATTGCTAGTCCCATCTATCATGATGTTCCAAGTATACAAACTTGAAGTCTAATTGTCTAATCATCTTGTTCAAGCTGTGTGGGTAACATGAATCCAAGAACTGGGTTGTACCATAATAAAGAATAAGAAACTGAAGTTATTCATTGTTGTGAGAATGCAAATAAACTTTAGTAGATTTGTTGATGAAGGATCCATGGTATCATATTTTAATGATGCAAAACTGTGATTACGGTTCATTTTAGAGCCAACTGAGCTTTTGATTAGTTCATGATATCTTCCATCCTTTGATGTTGACTGCTGAAACAATGGAGTTTGCTTCCTTTCCATCGTTGGTATGGGGTATAGATAAAATAACTTTTGCTCAGCTTGTTTACAATGATGTCAGCGTAGAAAAAAAATTTGATCACAAGGTTTGGATATGTGGTTTCGGTAATTTTGATCCCTTAAAATAACCAAAACTATTTTATAATAGAGGGTTTGATCGGTGAAGGGTGAGTGAATTTATAGAGAAATTTTTATAGCAGAAAAAGTAAAACATGAGCTTAAAGAATGAGAGTGATGAAGAAATCAGTCAAAAACGATGATAGGTAAGCACTTAACAAGTAATGTAAGTTTCCCGTCAACCACGTTAACGGAGGTTAACGACGACTGACTGTTTTGTTACAAATCGATAATGTTAGTAACCGATTTGTTACTTTTGAAACTTCAATGGGAAAAATAAAAACGTATTCAAACATTAGTGACCATTTATGCAATTTACGCTAAATGTTATCATTTCTTAAAAAAAAAATTCTAACAAGATCCACATCTACACGATAATATGTTATCAATTCTTTTATATTTTAAAAAATGATACGCAAAATAAATATTTTATCTATTTAAAAACACATTTTGAAAACATGAGCACTTAACGGGCTATGTAAGCTTTCCGTCACCCACGTTAACGGCGGTTAATAGTAAGTGGTCGTTTTGTTACAAATCAATAACGTTAGTGATTAATTTGATACTTTTGAAACTTTAGTGAGAAAACCAAAAATTTATTCAAACATGAATGATCATTTGTATAGTTTAGCCTAAAATTTATCATTTCTGTAATGAAATTTGCTTTAGACCATTACATATACTGATTGGTAAAAGTCCTGCTTCTTCCAAGCCAAAAATCATTTTGAAGCATTAGTATGGGACTATTTTGTAACATCAACACATAAGATTTATTCTTCCGAATCGATAATATTTACGATTTTCATAATTGAAATGTTTTAGGACGAAATTTAGAATTTAATGTTTTCTATTTTAAATAAAATATTTGGAAATTTGACTTTTTTTTAAAAAAAAAAACCAACCAACTTTCAAATATTTTCATTTGTGAAAAAAAAAGAGATCAAAGACCACATGCAAAATATAATTGAATTTGTTTTTTCATTTTGTCAAATAATTTAGAAACAGTTAAGAAATAAAAGAGTAATCAACTATTTTGATAAAAAAAATAATTTTTTCAAAATAATTTGAGGACTTATTTTGTAATAAACCTTCTTTGTTGAAAACTAAAAAAAAAAAGGTAATATAAACCAAATGAAATTCTAAAAATAATTATAATAACAATTAAGAAAATACTTCAATCTGGATTATTCAGTGATCAAACGGGAAGTCCTTGTGAATTTAAACTTTTTTCCTCCTCCCTTGTCTCCTTCTCTTAGCAAAGTTACCGTTTCCTCTGATTTCTTCCTTCCTTCCTTGCTCTCTCTTCATCTCTCACTTCATATTCTTGTTCCAGTCATTAGTGTGAGCTAAGAAAGAGAGGATTTTTTTAAAGAATAATAAAAAGTTTCATATGGATTGTTTCCCTTGTGGTGGAAAATCAAACAAAAATGGAAAGAAGCAACAGCATCCCATCAATAATAACACCATCTCCAGCAGCTTTGATCATCACATCCCTTCTACTTCAGGTGCTTATTACTCCTAAGATTTGGTCTTTTGAATAAAATATTAAATGAATTCTCATTTGCTTTGGCTGCAAATTGATTTTGGTTTGACCCATTTGTTTAATGGTTTCAACTTTTTAGTTTAATTTCTGGGTTTTCAATATTTATGTGTGATCTGATGTGGGATTTTGAAAGCTTGTTGGATTGTTTGTTAGCAATGGCAACTTGGGTATGTTTGAAATTTACAGTAGGTGTGAAAAATATTAGAATTTGAACATTTTCAATCTATAAAGATGAAATTTTTATTGGATGATATATATGCAGTATCCTTTCACACCATATAAAACTTTTATACCTGGTTAGTATCTTGCAACTGAAAAGAAAGCCAACCTAAGGATAAGCTTTAGAGCTTGTATCCTTAGGCCCGTAAGTCCAAGTCCATATAGCTTACCCTAAGCACACAGGAAGCCAACCTAATGTACTTGGGGCCCCAAGAGTCACATTAGGCCCATTCTGTTTATTAGCTTGATCAGAGCTATACTATTGTAATTCAATCAAAAAGTTCAATTGCACCGTGTCACAAATTCCATAAATCATCACATTAAATTGGTGCATCAATAAAACAGTAACCAAAGAACTCAGTGTACCTCATATTAAAACCAATAAAACAGTTCAGTAATAATTAGGGAACACACCTCGAATTGGTTTCAAATAGTAGATCTACTGATTGCTGGTTTCACCACGCTGCTACAGTTTTCGAACCTATTTTATAATAACCCTATATTACTTATAGGTAACATAAATAAATCTCTAAAATCATAAAATTTACGGGTCTTACGGGTGAATACTGGCACACGTGGTTTAACTGATCTAGAAGAGCTGGGTCGAGCTTTCGAACGATCCGGAGAATCTCTTGTACCTTCAAACAATAATAATTTATCAGCCCCAAATCTTACTTTATTGTTCAAAGCTAAAATTCTTAAGTATATAAGTATTTTCAGGGTTTGACTATCAATTTGGAGTATTTTGAGTCTGAATTTGGTCAAACGGATTGCGGAATCGGAATCAGGACGTCGAAAAACATAAAGTATGACTTTTCGAAAATTTAAATTCTTGGTCAAAGTCAACCACTTTGACCGACGATTTGGAGGCCTTCGTGTTTAAATTTGACGAAACGGACTTCGGAAACGGATTAGAAACGTCGAAAAATATCAGAATAGGTATACTCGGAAAAGATTAACGGTCGTTTAATGGTCGGTCAAATCCATTTTAAGTTTTGGTCATAGTAGGTCAACGGTCACGGTGAACGGTCGGGTCAACGATCGAGTCAGGTCGGGTCGGGTCAGATCGGTCAAACCGGTTCAGACCGGTCAGACCATTTCAGACCGGTCAGACCGGTTCGAACCGGTCGAAACCGGTCAAACAGGTTTTCCAGCTGCTCACTCTCCCTACGGCGGCGCGTGTGGCGCGTGAGACCTCCTCGGTGGGTCTAAAAATTACGGAAAAATTTCCAAAAATTATTTTGAGCTATTTCGAGATACTTACAACGATCGGTTCAAATTTTTGAACGGCGGAGAGCTCGAATTTCAACTCGGCCGAATCTTTGACTGCACCACCTCCTCACGAGCCGCCGTCGACGGCGAACAAGGTTGACACTGGCGGACTCGCAACGACACAAGGAACACGATGGTGCAGGAGGTGTCGTAAACGGAGCAACGATCGGTGATGAATTTGAGATTTTCCTGGCGATCGAGCTAAATAAAATGTCGAGACTTTGACTGGAAATTCCCGACGTTTGGCAGCGTTTCACTTCAATTAATTTGAAGGGTTTGTTTCTCGCTCGATGATGAACACAACGGTGGTTTCAAAACGACGATAAGAATTCGGACGGCGTCAGGATCTAAGTCGGAAACCGGCGTAGGAGGAAGGGAATTTGGGAGTGTGGTTTTCTGTTTTTGAAGCAGAAACCACACGTATATAACATATAACCCCAAACTTACCTCACTTTTTTGGGTAAACTCAGGGTTTGGTCCCTGAATTTTCTTTAACTCTAAAACAAGCTCCAAGTTTTAAAATCATTCAATTTAGTCCTCAAATTTTCTCTAATTTTCACAATTAACCTCCAATTTCAATTAAATACTATTTTGTAAATATTCGGGTTGTTACCTACATGGTATGAACAACAACGATCATCTCTGCGATCTTGGTTTCCGTTACATAATCGAACGTCATACGTAATACTACAATTTTCTGTTCGAGTTTCTGGTGTGTGATTCTTTTTTTTATGCTTAGTGCGTGTCATCTCCATCTTTTTATGTGTCATCCTTTTAAATTGATTGTTTTTCCTAGTTTCTTCTATATCAGATTTATCTCCCGATAGAAGACCACTTGTTTGGAATACGAGAATGAATATAGCTGCAGGTGCTGCAAAAGGTTTGGAATATTTGCACGACAAAGCTAAGCCGCCCGTCATATATCGAGATCTAAAATGCTCAAACATTTTGCTAGGTGAAGTCTATCACCCGAAGCTATCCGATTTCGGCTTGGCCAAATTGGGACCCGTTGGAGATAAGACTCATGTATCGACTAGAGTGATGGGGACCTATGGATATTGTGCTCCTGAATATGCGATGACCGGTCAACTTACGTTGAAATCAGATGTTTATAGTTTTGGGGTTCTGCTTGAAATCATTACTGGAAGGAAAGCTATCGACAACTCGAGAGCTGGCAGTGAGCAAAATCTGGTTGCCTGGGTAAGATACTATTGTCTATTTCCATATTTCCGAGGAAGAAAGTAAAACAATAAAGAAGCATAACGACCCATTACTTCAAGGACAATATCCGGTGAGGGGCCTGTACCAAGCTCTGGCAGTGGCTGCAATGCTGGGTAAGATATTGTCTATTTCCATATTTCCGAGGAAGAAAGTAAAACAATAAAGAAGCATATCGACCCATTACTTCAAGGACAATATCCGGTGAGGGGCCTGTACCAAGCTCTGGCAGTGGCTGCAATGTGTGTTCGGGAACAACCTAATATGCGACCGCTTATAGCGGATGTAGTGACCGCTCTCACGTATCTTGCTTCGCAAAAGTATGATCCCGAAACTCAGCCGGCTCAAGGACTCCGCACAGGTTGTTCCACCCCGAGAACGAGAAGGGAATAAACCGGCTAAAGAGAAGTAAGCATTCCTCTTATGATCCAATCAAATCCATTGACAGCCAAAGATGAACGTAAAGAAACAACAGGTTTATATCTTTTAATATCGAATCCAAATTTGTATAATGTAAATTTATCTACTTGTCGATATATTACATTGCTGGCAATGCTGGATTATATGGTATAATTTCATCTACTTGCTCGCTTTTGCTTACAGAAAACTTGCAATCTGAATATATATACATATATATATCTTTCATTACCATAACAACTGAACCATCTAAGTCAGATTTACAGATTCCTTTTGCTTCACCTATATTGGCTATATTACATTACATATAGGCTTCTCCATCTCTCCATATACATACATATATACATAAATGCATGCATCATGCATGCATAATATACATTCATGCATGCATACATGAATACATACAATTAGTGTTAATAATTATAGATCAAAGCTATGGCTGTTGAAATGGAAAATGGTGTCATGGCATTGTCTCATGTTATGTGATCTGATTTCTTTAGCAACACTTGATTGAAGAGTTGGAGGACCACAAACAATCACACCTGCATCAGCATTACCCCATTTCCTGCTTGTGGATGCAAATATTTCTGCATAAAAAAAATGAAAAACAGATCAACTCGAGAAAGATCTAATTGGCCTTAGCCGTCAATGCCAGACCCATATACCCGTTCGACATGAGTTTCTTTTAAAGTTCTATCATGGCACTGACCTTTGAAGTCTGGTCTGGAACCATATTGAATCATGGTTGAACTTTCTAGATTGTTCTTTGTCAAATCTTTGTCTGCAACAGTTTCATTTCTCTGAGGAGATTCAACCGTTATCCTGTCGTTATCCTGATCGTCGACCTTTGCGGAAACCCTTTTCTCCCAAAGATGCCATAAACCGATCACGACACCACCGAAAATAACAACGCTCGCCACCATGCATATGATGAAAAGAAGGCCCAGATACCACCAGGTGGACACATCGTATGGAATTATGTAGAAAATCCGCAATAAAGCCATTAAAACAATAAACCCGACTGTTGATATAATAAAGTATAAGCCAGACCATACGTTGTTTCCGGTGCCAACCAGTGGCGACATACTTTGACCGGAGAAAGGGCAGGAAGAGTTTGATGCTACATGAACCTTACCTTCTTCCTGCAGGCAACATCAATGGCAGATGAAACTAAAGAAAATGGTATGGCTCGTGTTTGAAAGTAAAATAGAAGCGCTAAGCATAAACTAGACATACCAATGAAGGCTCGGATTCTCGAGTGACATAAACATTGATCTCAAGGCTTACTTTTTCAGAGAAAAACGGACAAATCGATCCCATGTCGACCGTTGAAAGAAGAGGAATCTCGTCTGACTTTTTAACAGCCCAAACAACCATAATCCTTCTCGGTAGACATGGCTTTCCATCGTTAACGATGGAGGATATCGCTTATGATTGCCAAGAATGGTGAAATCCCGATACCACCTGCAACTAAGATCAGGTTCTCATACCTGTGAGAAGAAGATCAAGGCACCATGACTAAAACAGTTCGATCGTGACATGTGAAAGCCTAAAGAGATGAAAGATATTGGGCTATGTACATCAAATGGTACGGCGATTCATGTCCATAAGGTCCCTCAACAGAAGCTGTTATCGTCTTTTTGGTAACCTTCGGCGGATCTGTCTCGGACATGTTTAAGATACTGTCCCTCAAACTCTCCGTCCACTTCCCAAGAACCTTTATTAGAATAGCAAGATGATGTTTTCCGTCTAAAGGACTCGACGAAACACTGAAAGGATGCCACTGCAACCACGATAATTCTCGAACTTGAAGAAAAATAAAACTGAGCGCGTTGTACCGCAAACCTGCATATTTCAATGCGAACACGATTTAAGAAGGTAATGTCATCATATATATATATGTGTGTATTTCAAGGAAACTATAAATCTGCTCTTACTTGCAGGTTTTGAGAGGACCAATTCAACTGTCCCACAGGGAAGGCATTTAGCTGAAAGTATATCAATGGTTTTTCGTGATTGGCAGAACCGGAGGAAGCGGTCGAGCATGAAGATAAATATCGCTCCGGTGACGATGCTGAAAACGAAATCACCGACGTGCAATGCCAAGAAGACGACAAAGACGACATATAGCTGATGTGTATAGAAGAACAACTCAAAGTAGTCTTTCCTCACTGGATGAAGCGACGTTACCCACATAAACAAGCCGGCCAAAAGGCTTATAACTCCGGGTAAGTTAGCAATACCGACTCTTTTCCATTCCAGTAACTGCATAAAACAATGGAAACAGTTTAGCCACTGCAAGCATAAAAGAACTACGAGTTAAACAACCGAAAGAAAACCGAAACCTAAAACGCACTTCCTTCACTAGTGTTCCTTTCATTGCCCATCCGATCACATAGAACAGTCCATGGAGTGTAAAGAGCATCATGGTGAGATGTCCCAACCATACATGATATCTCGTAGCATGCTCGAAAGGGATGTCTATCAAACGGAGAAGAAGTGAGCCCCTCGAAACCGGGAGGAACAAAAAGATCAAGCAGAGTAATCCAAGCATTCCAAGTCGAAGTCCCGTCAGTTCCAAAAATAATCGACTGAAAAAGAAGATGAAAGACGATGATTAGCCCTCTATGAACAGGAGTGGCACTGTGCAAGTACCGGTGTTAACCATAAAGAAGCAGAAAATAGTTTTTACCCCTTGTCGGCATCGGTATGTCGAACTCAACAAGGAGTCTAAGATTGCGCAAAGTGTACGCATACATCGCCCATACGATGAACACGACAAAGAGGACTATCCCAATGAGCTCAGCTGCAGAGACAACCCCAAATGGTCCATCCACAATAACAGGGAAAGTCCACAAACGAAAGCCAGGTTTCTTTAAACTCTTCCTATATAAGCAATTCATAGCCATGTTCGTCATACACATTACATCGTTTTAAGACAAGTTTAAACCATAGAAATGCACATACTTTTCAAACACATCTTCACCGGAGACGATAAGATGGGCTACCGCTAGGATCGCCACGAGAAGAATCGGAGCACTGAATGCCAAGAACAGACTCCCTGCAAACACAATCAATCAAACATCGAATAAACACGAAGCAAATAATAATGGTAAATTATGAATTTCATCACTCAACTTTCTTTTTACCTATTTTGGTCATTGCCTTAAAAATTTTCAATTTGCTCATTAATAAGTGGTGTGTTAAATGAAAAGGTGACATCTTTGACACTACAATTATCATTCTTTATTTCTCCAACTACTCAAGATATCAATTTATATTTTACTTATATTATTTTAAAACTCAACTCTAAAATCAAAACTAGTAAAATCTCAAATCACTCTGATCTATAAAATTCTCACCCAATTCAACATGTAATAATAATATACAACTCGTTTCTTTAGCTTTCTCCGTAGTTGGGATTTGAAATAAGGTGATTCATCCATGGCAGATTCAGAAATTTAAGAATGATATTAATTTTTTTTAAATAATGGGTATAAAGAAATTTTTTTTATTTTTTTCTTTAACATATTATACTAAATTTCACCATTCTTTCTTAAAAAAAAAGAATACACTTGCCCCTAAGGATTTAGTCTAGTGCATCCGTCTGGATTCATCGTTGAGAGATCAAAAGAATTAAGAATAAGAATGATTTTATGAAAAACTGTTACATAATTTTTAAAGGAAAAATGTCTAATCACAACGCTGTTAAATATTATTGATGGCGTAATTAAAATAAAAGTAAATAAAAAATTCAGTAAGTAAATTAATTTTTTTTAAAATTTTAATGATCAGAAAATAAATGAGAAGAAAGTTGAATGATGAAACGTGTAATTTACCAAAGAATAAAGTAGGAAAAATAAACGAATGAAATTGAGTAACAAACCTGAAATGCCAAACACAGATCCTCTGGTGGTATGAATGATTCCATCAACCAATTGTTTACCAAATTCTCCAGGATACATGAAGATAAGAGCAATCCAGGCAATGAAAACCACCCAAATCACAGCCTTTAAACCCCATTTCAGTGACGATTTCAAAAGAGATGGAGTTTTGACAAAACCAGGCTCAACTTCATCATTCAACAAAAGGGGATTCTTCAATGAATCTGAACCCATGGCGATACACAATTCCTTCAGAAAACAAGAAGGGTTTTCTTCAACCTTGCTCTCCGGTGAAGACTAACCAGAGAAAGAGTGTATATAAGATGAAACCAGAGAAAAGAAACAAACTTTGTGGAACCCATTTTTCTGGTTTGATGGAAATAACGAAAACTAAGTGCAGAAATGACAATCCATTACATGATCACATATGAATTGCTACCAGGAAAAAAACAGGGAAAAAGGAAGAGAATTTTCTTTTTCAGTAGAGGGTTAAAGTTAACAGGTGAATTGTGTGGAAATTTTTAGAATTTTGTTGCAATTTTGAGTGGTTCTGGATGGGGCATTTATTGGGTTCGACTCGATTCAAAGAATTTAAAGTTGAATTCTATTCGTTTTGATAGTTTGTGAGAGTTATTCAAATTTGAAATTAAAAATTAAAATATATTAACTAAACTTCAATCAAATTAAATTCAATTAATTTAGATTTTATCTCGTCTCCTTAATTTTAGGGGTTGGATTCTTCGGACAAGTGTGGGGGTAAAGTTGATGAAGTGAGATTCAAGCCTTGGGGAGACAAAGGTGGTTGAGTACATAAACGCTTGCGTCAAAGTCATATCAACAGAACTTCTTTTGAATCATACAAAACGAAAAGGATTAATTATAAAATAAGTTTTCAAACTATATAATGCTTTCTATAAACAGCTACTCAATTTTTTTGAATGATCAAAGTGTTTAACATTACAAACGTTACGAGTTTAGGTGTTCGGACAGTAAACATCATTAATTTTTTCATTAAGTGACATATGTCACATTTCAATAAGTTTAAATTTTTATTTAAAGTTAAAAAATTTAAAATTATATTTAAAAAAACAAAAACTTTGGAATAGCCCAAAATCTTTGAAAACCCTCATTTCAGCTCCTAAACCTACGTCAGCCATCACCCTTTTTCGTTGACAAAACTCTATCTGACCTCATCCCCCGCTATTAATAATCCTATTAAATTGGGGTAAATCGATGACCAATCAACGTTTTATACCCTCAAACCCTAAGTTGAAAATCGTAATCCCATACGATCTTGTCGGTCAATCGGCGACAACTAGTATGACTAGAAAGACAATAGGGACTACGACGATGATGATCGTGGCCAACAAGGGCAATATCTGTGGGTTAGGGTTAGGGATTTAAGATTTTTAGAATTGGGGTTTGTAATTTAAGAGAAATAAGGGTTTTTTTTTTGTATAAATATAATAATATTTTAAACAAAATTATAAGAATGTAACATGTGTCACTTAATGAAAAAAATTAAAGGCAGTTATGGTCCAAACATCTATAGTGGTAATGTTTGCAACGTTAGGCACATAAATCATTCAAAAGAAAAATATGACACCTATTTATGAAAAGCGGTATAGTTTGGGCACTTGTTTTATAATTAAGCCAAATAGAAGAAGAAGATTTGGGGTTGGAAAAGAGCATGGGTGGCCAAGTGAAGGATCACTCATTTTGTGTGATGCTCACTGCCTTTCCTTTCCTTGTCTTACCTGCTAGTTCCCGCCTCATTCATCCGTGCTGAACGTGAAGGCTACTTCTCAACTAACCATTCATTCCCATCATCATGAGTGTTGTATTAATTGTAGACATCAAAATTTTGAAACATAAAACATATAAAAAATAAAGTATTTTTTTAAATAACATTATTATATTTTTCATCAAATATATCTTTTAAAAATAAAATAATAATTCGTGACGTTGATATTATTCAAATTTTAATATTGTTGATTGCATACCACATACAAAATGAAACAAAAAATAGAACATAATCAATATTCAATTAAATCCGTCAATTTTATCGTTCTAACATGTTAATATATATTATATATAAATTCTCATATCAACCTATTCAAGTACTATTATTATTTCTTAAAAAAAGTACTATTATTATCATTTTTGGACATATTTATTAACTTCCAATATATTTTAGTGGAAAATGTAATGTTACCCAAATTTGTAAATTTCATGGGTATTAACAACTGTTTATGGACAAGAATAAAGGTGAGATGAAATTTCGGGGATTAACCGTAAATAGTAATAAAATGAGGTTAAATTTAATTATTAAAAAATAATTTAAAATTTTAAAATTAAAGAGTTAGACTTTAATTTGTTTAATTTTAAAATTAATACAGATCTAAGAAATATTTAAACACAAACATAATATCATAGTTTGTCTGATTTCAAAACTAACACTAACCTAATAGGTATTTAAATCAATAATATGAGAGGAATTAAAGCTTAATTTATTTAATTTCAAAATAAAAAAATAATTGGAATAAAAACGCGAAAAGAGAAAGAACGAGAAAACTAATTTATGTAAAATAAAAAAAAATCTAAAGAGATTGAAAAAGAGAAAAAAGTGGGGTTGGAAGAGACAAAAAAAAAATATGATAAAATATGAATGATATCCGTTCTATTGAAAATTAGTGGCATCGCCCTCGTAAATGAAAGGGTTAGGTATACAAATAGTTTTTTTTTTTTTGATAATAGAGTATTGTTTTATAAAGTTGTATGAATATTAAAAGTTAAAAATAGGAATTGTTTTTTTTTGAGTAATTTGATTATTAAAATTTTGACTATTTATTATGTTTTAAACTATTTTTTATTAAAAAAAATTAAAGGTTATCTAAACTGACATTAACATATTGACTGAGATATTAGATAAAATTTTACCTTATCACTGTTAGTAAGTTAGGGTAAGACTCAGACTACTATCAAAATTTTAAAGGAAAAAGACAAGTTTAAAACATAATAAATAGTTAGGTGATCATTTTATAACTTTTAATTGTTGAGGGACTCAACAAAACAACTCTTTATAGTGGGATGATCATTTTGTAACTTTTAATAGTTGAGATACTCAACAAAATAACTCTTTATAGTCAACTATTTTATAACTTTTAATAATCAATTGACTCAATAAAATAATATTATATAGTTGAGAGATCATTTATATATTTTATCCTAAATAAGAAATAAACCTTTTAAGTATTTTCTTAATTTCTTTTGAATTTACAATTGATATTTCATATATTAACCTACTAATTCAAATAAAATATTGTATAAAATTATTATATAAAAAATATTTTATTAATTATTTAACACGTATGAAAGATGAAGTAAATATGCTATCATGCTTTTGTAATTTTTTGAATAGTAATTGTGTATTTATAAACAATGACATATTTAAAAATAATTTTTAGAGTGACATATATGTGCTAACAATAAACATAAATAAAATTTTAAGTTGAACATCGATAAATTTTAAATTTTAGAGTGAACATAATAAAATTTTAGAATAAATAACATTAATAAAATAAATTTTTAATAGAAAAAAATTTAAATTTTAAAGTGAGGGCGTGTTAAATGGATCTGCCACTGTTATTAACATTCTCCGTAATCATTATTTCATAATTGCTGGTTCCCTGTTTCTGCTTTCATTTCATGTTATGAATTATTAATATAAATGCCAAAATAATATTTAAACGGCCACAAATCACGACAGCAGGCTTTAGGACCAGTTTGGAGGTCCCAACTGTCACTTCATTTGACTAATTTAAGATTTTATTTTCATTTTTATTATTGAACTTTTTTATTCAATTCTTTTAAATTTTAACTAATTATTATTTAAAATTTATTATTGATAAATATATATAAAACTATATTTTAAAAACTTTTAATCAAGTAGTTTTCAAATTTATATTTTATAAAACTTAATTCTTTAAAATAATCAAGGTCAAAGTTAAAAAATCTAGACTTTTTTTGTCCTCTAATTTCAAAGTTTCACCTTAATTAATCAGTATCGATATGGGTTGCACACCTAGTTTTAATGGGTGAGTTTTCCAGAGAGAATTTTCTGCATATACAAAGACTCGAACCTTAAACCTTACCTAAGCAATATCAAGCTGCTTACCACTTAAATCAATATTCATTTATTAAAATTTTTTATTTTTTTAAAAGTTAATAAGAGACATTTTATTGTAGGGAGTCCTAATCTACTTGTTATGAAAAAGGATCTTATGTTTATATACTATTCTTTGGAGGTTATTCATTTTGTGGACATAAAAATTTGAAAAATAAGAAAAGATAATATCTAAATGGATAATAGGATTATAGGCTCAATTCTATTTATCTTGATAAAAAAAAATTTATAGTCAAATATCACTATATGCTACAAAAATTATAATTGATTAACACGTGAAATACTTCACATAAGTTTAAGGCTATTAAATATTACATTTTGTTTCACTATAGATAAAAGCAGGGGCGGAGGTAGGCCTACCTAGGCCTTGGCCCCTATGCCAAGTAAAAAAATTAATTTTATAATTTTATTACATTTAGTTTTAATTATAATTTTATTTAATTAAAATTAAATTAATTAAATTACTATTTAGTTTCAAGTTTAACTGTAATTTTACTTCATCAAAATCTTAAATTAAGAGATATCTTATTCTAACACACACACACACACATATATATATATATTATCTCTTTCTTATTTATTTATTAATTTATTTTCATTATTTTTTTAAATTCAAAGAATTATTTTTAAAACTTGAAGGTAATCAAATATTTTAATTGAGATTTTGAGTTTTTTATCTTCTTCTGCAAGTTTTTATTACATTTTTTGAACTTTTATCCTTTATTTTTATTTTATTCTTTAATTACTTATGAACTTGTGATGTTATTAGCCGTTTGTTCAATGATTTTTCAACATTATCTATAAGATTATGATAAAAATTTAAAAGATACAATGATATCATATTTTATTCAATTAAAATTATTCAATATTTTTTGTCTCAATCATAAATAATTTTGGTTATTTGAAAATGAGAGTTTATCTTAATTGATAAAAATATTATATTCCAGACTATGTATTTTTTTACGTAAATTTGAAAGTTTTTTTAGAAACATTTAATTATACTAGTTTTAGTTGTTATTAAATTTTTAAATTATAAAATTATATACGTGAGTTATATTCATATTAGATTATTTTCTATTATATTTATTTTGATTCAGTTAATAATATTTTTTTAAAATTCGCGACTGGATAAAAAGTTATTTTATATAGAAAATATATGCATATACATCAAACTAAACATAAAACTATCTTAATAAACGCTTTGGTAACCTCCAAATGTTAACAAAAAGCATTCACAGTTCGCACTATCAAGTCATTCCAAAACAAAACACACACAAAAGGATAGCATACATTCCACAACCTAAACATAAAACTATCTTAATT